CGGCGGCTGCGGCGCCGTCGCAGGCCGCGTCGTCCGCGTCCGCCGTGCCGCGTTATATGTATACGCGGTACGCGGGAGATGAGAGAAATTCCTGGTGGATTCTTCCTGCATTATGTATGCGCGACGTTGATCGAACGGGATCATAGATTTGTTCGCTTTCATTAGAACCTGACAGGTGCGTTCGCGCGCCACTGTTACGCGGAACGCGGTAAATTGGGCGTTGAAGTATGATACCATTAAGCGAATTTAATGGCAGATACAGAATGTTTCTTCGAAACGAAGCTCTCTTCAGTAAAAATGTTAAGATATCAATTCCTAAGTCGCGAACATGAGAAACAGCAGTTTTAACTCAAATAGAATTAAAGTTTATTCGATATTATTTTAATTGACGAAAATATAAACTTTTGGAAAATTAAGTAATGTACATCACGTAAATCATGCATGTGTTAATACAATACATAAAATGTAATATAAAAATCGCTATTGTTTTCAAAGAAAAGTCTTTAAAAAAGATAGTTTAGTTTTTTCCAATCTGAATTTTTATTCGTCAGTTAATTCTCATTTACCGTCGCGTCGCGACTAATGCAAATCCATTTCCACTCTTCGAATTTATCGTTCTTACGATTGGAGCTGACATATTCCACTGACATGGAACTAATACCGTTTTCGTCTGCGTTTAGGAAAAAGCGACGGGTGAACGTATCTCTAACGAGGACCATGAGAATGTCAGAGACGAAGTGTCTCGTTCCTGGCGAATAATCTCGTCATTTATATCGTACGTCATTCAGGTCCGGAAGTTCCGGGGTGTGCGAAATTATAACGTATCGAACGCAGCTGCGTGCCGTGCGCGCCCGTGTATTATTCAAATTCCCGCGAAACAATATGAAACTAATTGTCGCGCCGAATTGGCATGGCTTGACCCATATGTAAATTTAGAGAACTTTGCGTGCATTAATTATAGGTTGTACACAGGCTGGCTATGTTCTCCACCGACGGGGACTCTGCATTACTAATATCTTGAATCTCCCCGGATAGAGGGCCAGGACGTACGCTTGAATTATGGGAAAATTAATGGTGCCGTGATAAACATGAAGAAATAACGATCCGGGGCAGAAATAGATGTTCGAGGTAAACGTTCCCCGTCACCCATGACTTCCGCTAAGCCGTTTTTAAAGCTGAAATATGTGCCGTAATGTCAAACGCGTTTGCAAGCGTCATCGCTCGCGCAAATCGCATTCAAATATTTTCAAATCGATTTCCTGTTATTCCCTTTAATCTTTTTTTCTTTCTCGACCGTATGAGAAAATATAAATTTAATATAGTAGCAGTTTAATATAGTAGCAAATAATTCGATTCTAAATGTTTCGATAAAAATGGAATATGCGTCTCGTATCTTTTTCTAGATTTCATTAAATTGTTTCCCTTTGTCACGAATGTCGCTAACTTACGTTCGTCACAGAAGGCGCCCTTCCACCCTGGAATACAGACGCAGGATCCTCTAACGCACTGACCATGTTGATTGCAATCAGGAACTTGGCAGTCGCCTAATGGTATGTCGCACTCTGCGCCTTTCCAGCCCTCCTCGCAGTGACACATACCTCCGCCGTATTGCCCATGAGAAGAACACAAAACCGGACATACGCTTTTGCTGCAATCAGCACCCTGAAACAATTCCAAAGTTTCGTCTCCTTAGAACTTTAATTTTTTCAAGTGGTACGTGATCGGACAATAAAATGATAATTCATCAAAACGCACCTGATATCCATCTATACAGTCGCACTTGCCAAGATAGCACGATCCACGTCCCGAGCAATCATTGGGACACGTGGTCGAAACACCTTCGGCTTCCGTCACGACCAAGGTAACTTTGTAAGGTTGCAACTCGTCGTTGTACACGGACAGGAACCAATCGCCGGTGTCGAAGTATTGCAGTAGACTAACGTTGACCATCAGCGGTTCCACAATGGTCCTCTTGATGAGTACGTGTTGATAGGATGTGGCTGGTGGTGCCGCACGTTCCACGCGAACGTCCTGCGGGCCGCTAGCCTGCATAAAGCTGACAGCCTCTGCGGTGATGTCCCTCTTCAGCCTGTGAACCACCCTGCCACCCTTCACGAACTCGACGAAATCATACTGCGTGACGCTAGGCGCGACGTTCCGCCTGCCGTACACGGCGAAATTTGCGCCCCACGGCAGGGTCAAGTTCAGCCTGATGAATGCCGGCTGTTTGTTGCGGAACTCGGTGTTCCAGAAGTGATACGGCTGAATAACGGCGGAGTGCGCAACATTGTAGGCCTGCAATTCGAGCACGGCCGGCCATTGCTGCGCAGATTGCTGGATCTGCGGATCGCTTTGCTGATCACCGGCGCTGTCCGCGGCGCTCGAATGCTCCGCCGTACTCGTCGGCAGGGATTCTGCGAGGCAAAGACGTAAGAATATTAATGATGGTTAATATATGAGCATAAATTACCAGGAAAATTTCGAGATAAATTTATAAAATTATTAAATCTAAATAGCAATAATCTTTACGCAAAGAGAAAATGGTTTTTATCCATTTTTTTTAAATTGGCGATCGATATATCGTACATTTATAGAGTTTAAGACCATAGCATATTAAACGATACAATGCAAATTAAATGATGAATAAACAATTAAAAATAAGAAATAAAAATAAAAAATAATACATTATAAAATAATATATTAAGAAATAAAAAAATTTTTTATTTTCATTTCTTAGTATATTATTTTTAGAAAAAGCAAGATAAGAAAGATAAGATACAGTGAATACAGTTTTTATAAGAAGAATGTCGTCAAACATTTATGCTAAGACTAGCAGATCATATACTTTATATGGCGTTACTGAGTCAATTTATTCTCGTATAAAGCGGGTCACATGTACCATAATTATCTTTCGGAATTAATATAATTCATAATGTGAAATCTTTACAGCGGATGACATTTAGATGCAGGGCGATATAGTCCTTGCTAAAGATATTATGTCGATGAAACGTTCATCCACTCGCGCTTCCCAAAAGCAATTAGCGTATGACGCTATACGCGAGAGTATTTACATCATGCAGAGTAGATGCAAATTAATACCGCTCGATATTTACCTTCTGTAGGTATCTGCGTGGATATCGAATCGTGGATGTGTGCATTTTCGTGAGTGACAGCCTTGATATCTTGAACCAGAATGCAGTTAGTGCTGTCTATCGGGCGCATAGAACTCACTGCTGGAAAGTAAACAGAGGATGTCCATTTTAGAATAAGACAAAGACAGGAATCCATGCGGATGTCTCACGTGCAATTGCTCGTAGACAAATGTTATATTTGCAACATACGACCAATGGTATTCCGAGCGAAATAGCATTGCCGTGCGACGCTTTTATAGCGTCAGGAATCAGGAACGGCTTTAGTCGAACGTCTGGCAGCTGCCTAATGGGTTCATAAATTCGGACAATCGCTATCGAATTACGATGGCCCACTAGATTTCCCATGACAATTCGAACTTTTTGCTCAAGTAACTTTTAGAGCATCTGGCGTAATAAAGTTCAAGATGTCACGGTTTGAATCACGGCTATATTGTATACTGCTTCATTATATAAAAAATTTTAGTCCACTTGCTACAATATCCTTATACCGTTCAGATGGTATTTTTTAAAATAAATTTTTGCAAAATAATATGAATGATCAATGATCAATGCAATAGTTTTTACCATGTTCAGTGACGAATGATTATGACATCTAACATTTCAATGAAGACTAAAAAGCATTAATACCAGCCGATATAATCCGAGATCCAATTATGTTGATGCTATATCGGTAGTTATCTGAAGTTTCAGGTCATTTATATTATTGTTTTCTGAGCGATAAGTGCAAGTTCGTTGAATTTAAACGCCATGATAAATTCGGCAATAAAACCCTTATCCATGGCGGGATATTGCGGTTTAATTAATTATCTGTCTCGTGCGCCGCGAGCGCCACGAATTAATTACGCGGTTTAACGAGAGTTTTTAAAAAGGGGCTGGACCAGGGCCCCGCCTAACGACCTCTTGGCTTATCAACGCAACAAAACACCGATAACGCATAATTGAATTCGCGTGTTATTGCCGCGTGGGTGATTTGACAAATCGCGATTCGCCGATACTCGGCGCCGACATTTAATGGACGCGTTTTCGCGCCTCGCGATTTATCGCATCGCGAATTGTATAAGCTTTCTGTCGTGATAATAGCACTCATTATTGCGTGTGCCTGTGCACCGTTTCTAGCGGAATTGCCATTGCACAATGTTATTTATTTAGCGTTGAATAAAATTGCGAGCATAATTGAAATGCTAGCAATATTTACCTCTGATACGAAAGAGATTGCTTGTAAATACATTACAATTTGAAACGGGTAATTTGATAAGTGTAAATTGATATCTAATTCTCCTAATACTTTTCGCAATAACTTGTCTTTGGTCATAGAAAAGTCTTGTGCGCAGACGATAGTATTTGACAAGTTTCTTCGACATAAGGAAGCTGTGCGATACGTGCAAGACGAGAGGTTGCGCTCACATATAAAAATTTTACGTGTACGCACGCGTTTTTACGCATACGGATACGAAGTGGGCGTGTACGTGTACACATGTACGCATGTCAGCCCGGAGATAGGCGAAATGACCGGAAAAAAGCGACTATTCCTTCGGGATCGACGTTGCCTGCCTGGCCGCCATGTAACTATCGCTGAAATTGAGTTGCAGTGAACTGTGAATGACCTTATTTCGCGTATATGCCAGTCAGCGTGGCATCGTTTTCGTTCCCGCTTCACGTCGCTGCAGTTCAGCAATCCAACTTTCCACATATTGCATCAAATGTCTAAAGAGTCACGTAACTTCGAGACTACTAATACCGAATATTAAATTAAGAGGAAAAAAGGTGATTATATTTTATACATTACTGGAAATAAAATATTTTTAATGTGCCAAAAATAAACTTGATATATTAAAAATATTCATCATTTTCAGACTTGATAGTGCAGCTATGCGTTTTCAATTAATTTTATGTAGACTTATTTTAACAACGCTTTAATATCGTTGGTTCCTAAAATATTTGATGTTGAAAATTAGGAATCTCAGATAGCGAATGCAAAATGAGCTTGCACTTGGGTTCTCTAAGTAATTTAATCTACCAGCAGCTGCGACCTCTAAGACATCCTGTATGCTTAAAGCTATAAGGACAATAGTGCAAAACGAAGTCATCGCAAAATCCAATATATATGACTCGAGAGACTACCACGTGTAGCGATGAACCACCGGAAATTTAAAATGACCACAATGCGAGCTGCGGAAGGGGTTGTTACACTGACGCCCACCCTCTTGCCTTTGTGAGGATGAAAAAGGCGAGCGCGACTGTGAAGGACAGCGGGCACGTTCATGAAAGAGGAAGGAAGGGGTTAGGGGGCGCAAAGGAACAACTTTTTCAATTATATACCCTCGGATCGATAGAGCGATTCATTCCCGAGAATGATTCCCGGATTATCGTAGGATTATCCCGCCGCCACCCCGGCCGGTCCGTTCTACCGCCCACTTCCGCTCGTACGTTATAATGAAATGTTTACAATCGATCCGTCTACCCTTTCGTTCCGATCCGCCGAAGCGTGAGTCCAGACACGACAACGTTATCGAGCTGCCTACAATGTCGCTATTATTGACGAGTTAACTATTAATGACATAGTAATAATGTTTCATCGTGACAGAAAACACAAGCGGATGGATCATATTATAATTTTTTAACGACAAACACGCTATAAAAGTCAGAATAATTGTTTCGAAGTTGTATCAACAGTTTATGATTACAATTAAAGGAATTTTTTTGCGAAAAATCTGTATGACGAACAAGTTTTGCGAGCGTATTAGATTTTATCATCTAAAATCGTAGGGATTAAGGGGATTTGACGGAAGAAGAAAGAAATATGAGTAAATGAGCCGTATCATGTTTCCACAAATCTGCACACTACATCACTGATTCTCTTGCAGAGGTATCTGTAATTGCGTTCTAAAATGTATAAAAATAAGTGCGAGTGCTACTCACGCTTTACATTTTACAAATGTTTACGTTGAAAAGAACGACAAATGACAAACAAAATTTTCTAGTTGTGCTCTCTGTTTTAGGGGAGCTTGTCAGGAACAATTACCCTGGTAACGGTTTTGTTAGTCACTTGTAAATGAAACCGTGGAAAGGATCCACGTCGGAAGTGGCTTGTCGCGAAACGATTTTGGCCCTGTGAGGGCCACAAGTGAGCAAGCAAGCAAGCAGACATACGTCAAATTACCGAAAAGCAAGGCAACTCATGTGCATGCAAAATTCGTGCGTTCCAGAGCGAGGTAGAGGGATGAAACGAAGAGGGAGCGTGTTCGCGTAGGGCGTGCGTGTACGTAGCCGTGTGTGTATGTGTTCGCAACGAGAGAGAGAGAGAGAGAGAGAGAGAGAGAGAGAGAGAGAGAGAGAGAGAGAAAGAGAGAGAGAGTAGACGGACCTGCAACGACCGTAAAAGAGGCGCGGGCGTGGTGGAGGATAGAGAGGGATAACGCTGGAGGTTGGCTGCGGGGTAGTTTGGATGCAGCAGCAAACAGGCAGATTGGATTCTAGACTCGATTTACTGGAATGTAGAAATAACAGCTGGCGAGCAGTCTCCTCGAGGCCGCGAACCGACTTTGCAGTTTCTCTACCTTCTCCCACGCCCTACGACACGCGGAACGAAAGGAGAAAGAAGAATATGAACGCCGAAGTCGAGAGGACAGTGTCGCAAAGGAATCGGAGGGATGTCATATAGATTCGCGGAACACAATGCGGTCCAGCTACCCGTATCTTATCCTTCCCCGGTCAAGTCCCTTTAGTCCCTGCGACTTTGGCTGATAAAGTCTAATAGCTTCGCAAGACGAACCTTGATCATGAATTTTCGGATATCTCGCGGAGTGCAGAAGCAAAATTCGCATAAAGGCAGAAAGGGACGGAAAGGAAGAAAGTAGGTTCCTTTCTGTTGCATGCTGATAACAGGCGAGCATTAATTCCTCTAATCGGACTCGGCGCCATGGAGATGCAACGATCTTTAAGCCCGTTCGCGCGTATCTTTAGCCTCGCCCCGTTGGCTTTTGCATTAGCATAACGGACCTGGCGGAGCCATTTGGCGAGTCCTTTTTGCAGTAACGATAGCCTAACGTAGTGTTCTTTCAACGTTGATCTTAACGACGCGGATCAACTAGGACGATTTGTCTCTCGTTTTCTTGCCGCGAGCTCATTAATAGAGCCGACTATCAACGGTACCAGGAATGCTGTCGCTGTGTTTCAGTCTCGGTAAGATTTCACGTTTGCATACATCGTGGGGTTTCGCCGTTGTTATTTATGCAGCAAAGTTTACCAATGTTAGCCATAGGGTGTACCGTGGTAGTGCGCCGTTAGTTGCACGGCTATCGATTTGTACGTCGGATAGGCCATTGCCCCGCGAAATTGCCCGATTCGTTTAGCAAAGACATGGACTTTTAATTTCTGGTAATCCACTCAGCGATTACAACTAATATTCGAAAAGTTTGAAATCAACGATATTGGAGAACATTGAAGGCACGCTATTGTTACCGCTGTATCAGATAAAACCCCTTCCGTTTCCTGCAACCATTATTATACATGTACCATTATTATACATGTTATTACCGGATAGAAAGGCATGATATCGATTCACATACGAATGCATTCACCTTCCTCTCCGCCCTTGCGATGCGCTACGACGTACGTACTACTTCCTCAGCACGAGTTTTATGGGTAAAACGAACCCCATGGAAACGATTCCTCGCTATCGACGGGTAATATTTTCACTTCTCCCTAACCGGATGGAGCCAACCACTCTGCGTTAAATGAACCATTACGCCGGCAGTGTTACGCCGTAGCTACGTTTCCTACAGAAGATCCGGACTTCCTCCGTTAAACAGTATTTAATTTTCCAGAATACGTTGATATATACATCATCCACGTTATTTCGCACATTATTTCGCATATTTATGTTCTGTAGATGTGATAATAATATTCTTATAATGAAAGAGAAGTTAAATTAAAGATTAATAATAAAATAAACGATATTATATATGTAAAATATATGTATACATTTTTTTATGCCTCTATAAAAACTGTTTAACATATAGTTATAAATGAAACATTGTGAAAATAATTCTTTCGGTGCAGTATTTCGAGAGTCCATAACGGCAACATCCCTTCGGCAATATCTCTTTGCAGCAAACGTTTCAATGTGGTGCAAAATAAAACGGACTCACGTGTTTTATAACCCAAAACTACTTCTATTGCAAAGAAACGTTGTATTTAAACGTCAACTGTAAAATAATGCTGTTGTGGCAATGTTACATGCTATCTATATTGTAAGAAAAATACCGATGTATCATGGACATATAGCGTTTTACAAATAAATATAATGCAGCTGCATTACATAATATTTTGACTACTTTATTTATTTCTTTTTCTCTTAAATTTAATTGATTCTTTTAAATGACACTTTCCTTTTATTACTTTTGTGCTTCGTTCGTAAGATTCTATTTGATTAAATTTTCAATACGTTATCTAAATCGCGTGGCTGCGTGACAAATTTTTATCACGAGTACATCGAGAAAGCTGCTTTTATAAATAAATTCGTTTACCTCGCTCTTAGCATTTTTTTAACTGAAGCGGAAACGTGAATTTTACGTTTGCAAATATTTGTGAATCTCATTTAGTTATGATTTGCATGATTACGCGAAATTCGTCATGCCTTCACGCGGAATGTTATGGTGTCAGTCATATGTATAATCCCCCTCTGTGCGTACAAGGATTAGCATGGTGCAGTAATGCCGACGTTCCGATGGATTTTAGCATTAGGTGGGTTGGGTTAGTCGTAACCAGATTTGCAAGTTAATAATGAATTATTGTACCGTGAATTTCGGGTCAGCCAGCAATAGAATTGCGCGGACTATCCGCCGCCGGCTATGTTACTACTCGGACGTGCGCTCTGGGACTAATAAAAACAGCTCATTCAAATTTACACCGACGCAAATATTATTTATGAAATGATTGCATTAAATAGCCCCCTGCTCCCTTTGTATGTTACAAATACAGATTCAGTTACATCTGCAGTCAACTTAACGTCATCCCGCTTTAATCAAAAGTTTATTTTTAATTTAAAAAAAAATACAGCTTCCGTTATATATTCAAGGTATACTAAGAATCACACGATTGTTCATTTTCTATTTCATTTGAGATAGAACATCTGTTTTAACAGAATTTTAACGCAACGATCACTTACCAGCAAAGTACGCCAGCATCGCCGTCAACGCTACGGCCAGGAGAATTAGAGCGATCGAGAAGCATTTCCAGGAGCATCTGTGCTGACAACGCTTGTCGATGTGAAAACGCGACGGCGAATACGGAGAGTAGTGCGGCACCGCTGCTGCACGAAGCGGGAAACCCGGCATCACCATGGCTTGGCCTTGCGCGCCTACCGTGGCGGTACCGCCATTTCCGGCACCACCTAAACCGCCGCCCAGAGAACCCACCGTCACCTGCTGTTGCGGTGGTGGAAGCCTGAAACAACAAGAAGTAACCGATGTTAGAAGGAACCGCCTGAGATGCGTAGCATGGTGAAAGTTACGTCATTGGAGTGCACAATTACAACCACGCTCGGTATACGTGTGTGTTAAATACTCAAGAGATACGTCTAAATCAGGTTGCTAAGATCAGATTCGATGATTCGACCGTCGCGATTAATAACCGCGAGTCGAAATGATCGGCCACGATGACAAATTGTCCGTGCGATTGCGAATCGGAAACGGAGTCGACGTCGATCAGTATCTACTATGTGTCTCGCTTACTGCTGATTATTAGTTAAATTCATGCCGATGCTCATCGGCGTATCGGTGTGTCCTGGTAATAAATGGGAGAGTTGACTGCGCGTACTCCAAGCGGGTTGCTTGATCCGACGTCGCTCCGAGGGCGATACGCACCGGCGATAAATCGACGACCGGGGTATCTGTTTGGCGCACGTGTGCCAGCGGAGGCGGCGATTGCCGTGGTACATAGACCGGAGCATCGGCGATGCTCGTCCAGGGATGCAGATAACGCCAAGCTTATAAAAGATGCAGATGCCGCCATTAAGCCCGATATGGCAGGCCACGCGCGCGCGCGCGCGCGCGCGCGCGTGTGTGTGTGTGTGTGTGTCGCCGCACGAGATGCACGAGAGACCCGCGGGCTTTCGGAAAATGACGTTTCGCGGGGGTGACAAGGTTCAGGCCCTACCCGTCGGACCCGTGTCAAGGATTTTATTTTCATCATCGACGATATTTATCTTCGTCCTCCCCATCGAAAGGCCAGGGATAAGCGCGACCGTAGCCGGCCGGATGAAAGGCCAACATCGAAACAGGGATTTAATATGGTGCCCAGGATAAATATAGTTTTCCGATAATCATGCGGACTCATGAATAGCATTATGCGCGCGCCGCGACTGAAATCCCGTAAGAATAACTCGATTGACAGTACGTCTCTGGTAGGGACGAGAGATAGAGGGAAGGGCAAAAGGGGAGGACTGAAGCGACCAGAAAAAGGAAACAAGTAGGAACTTAACAATGCACCGCGGCGCCAATATTGGATTTTCCGCTTAAAAATTCACGTAGTATAAAGCCCGAACGCGAGGCGCGCCTGCTTGAATCGAATACTTACGAAAAATCTCTTTCGAGTCGGTTTTACGCGAGTTCGATGGAAAAGCAGTCAGAGCGTTGGATTTAATCCCGAACTTATCGCTTTAAGGTAACGTTTCACTTTCACGGGATGTAAGCGAAGTGATTTAAAGAGGTTTAAAAAAAGATATTTTTCACAGAGGTAATACTTGCGATATATCAATCGCAGAACATTTTTACTTTTTCTAATAACGTTTAAACAGTCGAATGAATTCTTTCTTCATTTATTCAGTAGAGTAAATTCGGTCAAATTATCATGAATCACTTTTCTCTTTCCTCATAATCGCAAAACATAGATATAGTTAAAAACAGTTTTTCATTTGCACAGAATAAATTTTTTCTTCAAGCTCTAATTCAAATATTATTTTAGTGTGGAATTTTTCATCGTATAAACCCAGAAAGATTTGTCAAAAAATGATAGATGTCGTGAAAGAAAATTCTAAAGATAAGTTGAGACAGATATCTTGCAGAGTTCAAAGATGAGTGTTCTATCCCCTTTGAAGGAATCGTTGAGACGCGTCGTGTGTCGCATGTAATTTATAAGTTGCTTAACAAACCCAGTCCGACAAATACCATAAATAATCGCGCTTAGATCTCGACGCTTCGCGATCCTATAAATGTCCGCTCATATTTTCTGGAGCAGGAAGCAATCAGACACGACGTGAAAAAATATCACTGGCAAAAGTCCCGGACGTTCTTACGCGGCGATTCAGAAAAAAAGAAGATACGCGAGAGAAGGAATCCTGCGTAATAAATATTACTTTTTTCTCGGTATCATTAACTTAGAAACAGCAGAGCCGCGGCGTAAAATTAATTTACTAAAAGTATCGGCGTGCTCGGCGTCCGACAAAAATCGGGGAGGAAAAAACTTAATGGTGAAATAATGGGAATTTTTTTCTAAGCTGGAAGATAGCCAAAGATAATCTTACTTGATCTCTGAATCATTTGGTAGTGAGTATTATATTTCAAAAATAATTCAATTGCAGAAAAGTATGATTTAACAAAAATTTTGCATTATTTGCATATGTAGAGTATTTCAAGTTGTGTACAACTTTCTTTTTACATTGTCATTTTAAAAATAAATTTTCCGCGAACATCGGTAATATCGGTAATATCGATACTTTCAAAATGGCTTTACCTAATATAATATACGTTTCTCTGTATTTATGTTTATTAATATTAATAATATCAATAATATTTGCCCTAAAGCTTTAATTTATACCATTATTATTGATTAGTATATCAAATTAGTTTGCTGGTATTATTTTTTCTCTCGTATACATTAATTAACTCTCATGATTAATTTATAACGTTTCGCGATTACTTTCGTATTCCGCTAGATTTTCCGAATTGAAGCTCTAGAAGTTTTTCCTCGGAAATAAATAAATCTAACTCCGTGGCCCGGCTAAGAGCCTTCGGACAGATGTACGGCGCTCCGGTCGGGACAACCGGATTCTTGATTGCACGTAACAGACAAATGAAGCGAGGGGAGTGGCTGAAAACAAGATAAACGACGAAAAAGGAGAGATAGTAAAGCCGGGGGATGCACTGCGGAAGAATGGAGTAAGCAGCAATTCGGCGTGTTCACGCCGTGGCCCCCCTCCAAGCCGGGTTAATCCATTTGTGCGAGTAAATCGGTTAGCTCTGAAATTGGGTTATATTTCCTAATCGATACGATGGATTAAGTTACCGGTTGGTCCGTCCTCTGGCTCGTCGGTCACGATGCATGGCTCTTTCTTCGCTAATTATCGTTAGAAGCAGCAGAGGGAACGTGAGAGAAATATAAGTTCCTGCCGAAGCTTCGATTTTGGAAGATAAATTGAAAGATTACAGTGTTATTATACCTATGTACACACCTAAGTATAAATGGCATTTCCAATTGTAACAAAGTATCGCGATATATTGACGAAACTGACATGTTTTTCAATCCAATAGTCTATCGTGTAAATTTACAAAATTCCATTGAGATTGCCGGATTGCTCGGGAACGAGGAATTGCAGATCTCAGACGTTCCCGTTGAATCGAAGGGCTTGCGATTTTTCTTGTGACAGTTTAATCTAACTCAGGGACTTAAGCGTAAAGCTAAAGCGAGAAGTTGTACCACGGCACGACTTTCGGGAAGGAAGTTCGAAAACGTGCGGATGCTCCTTTAACCAATGTAAAAGTGGGTCGAGGAACGCCGAGTTTGATCGTCAGCAACCTGGGCGGATTACGCAGTCCTGCTGCAAAGTTAGGATGTTCCTGATCTAAGTTAAGTCGTAATCCGGTCACGAAAGGACCCACCGTCACTTTAAGCAGGTAGCTTCACCGACCGGGTGACGACGATGGTGGTGGACGTATGGATTGTATGAACGTGTACAAAACACCTCCACCGATTAAACCAATTGGACGGCTGTCTGATATATTGGAAGTTAAAGAGGTAATTGCGAGCGGCGTTGCTGCCACATATTGAGTTGAGTGTCGTCTGAGTGGAAGATTGGACTGTTTCAGCTGCGCGGGCAGAGGATAGAATCGAGCGTGTGATCCAATTATGATATAACGCATGTTTCATCGCAGGAACGATTGGCAGCGACGAGTGCCGTGTAGTTCGTACGCCATTTGAAATTTTGAAAGCTTCCCTACGCTTCCGTGAATCTTTTATTGTGGTTTAACTAGATGATCTTCGGAAAAAATGAAAGAAAATATGTTAAAATCGATGATGTTAAATATTGAATAAGTATTCAAATAAAGTCGTCCTACTTTTTTTTCTTCTTATTCATTCAATAGAATGAAATATCATTTACAATTATTTATCTTTAATCTCATTCCAATTACTTCATCTTGTGAATTATTTGATTTTTAATCCCTTTCGGATTAAAGATGAAACAATACTCTATACATAAAAGCTTTATGCCTTTTTACCATTTCTTTTATAGATTTATTTTTTAATAATGAATACATTTGCCATAAATTTTTTATTATCCGTCGTTTGAATTTATCCTTTTGTAAAGGTTCTCTTGTTCAAACTAATTTATCTATCATCTCAAGTGATATCTGTACCCGTAGTAACATCACGTCGGGTAGTCCGTAGCCACTAGAAAACATAATGGATTCTTTTAAGAAGAAGGGGGGCGTGAAAAATTTCGGAGGCCGTTGATACTCGATCGTTTGTCACGGGCGCCGCTTATCTGCGATCTCCCTCGAGATCGCGTAGCGCAGACGAAGCGCGCTCTAAGATACGACGATTGTCGACGTCGAGGAACGTTACCGTGGCCCCGTAGGAGGTACACGTAGGAAGAATCCTAATAAAAATCTGATACCCCGGTCCGCGCGCGGGTCCAGCCAAACGCGTTTCAAAGGGAAGATAAGGTGACAGAGAGACACAGGTAACACGACGCGCCACAGTTGAAATTGAATCTCACTCTCAGGTGAAAAATTACGATCGTTGCTAACACGCCCGGGGGATAATGAAGTCTGCTCTCGCAGCCATTGTTCCGCGAAGGGCACGACGGCGCGGAGCTGCGCGTCAAGCCGCGCCTTCCGACAACCTCCGTCTGCTTTCTCGCCGTTAGCGCGACGCCTCTAATTATTAATTTCGGCCTTTTAATATTAATTAGACTCGCGCGCGCGCACGCTGTGCGCCATAATGGAACGGCGTGATTACGCCGAGATTATAATTTTAATCGCTCGATTACCATTCCGAGATAAAGAGAGAGAGAGAGAGAGAGAGAAAGAGAGAGAGAAAGGGTATGCCTCTTGTGACGCAGCTCTTGTACGCGTTTCTCGACATACAGTAATAATAAGTGCGATACTACTGAATATTCAGAGAGACTGTGCCGCGAAGATTCTGCGGTATTACGATTTTAAGAC